TGGAGCGCTGGCCCTCCGCGGTGGCGTAGTTTGGCGTGTGCGCGGCGTTCTGGCCTCGCGGCGGCCCGTTACGCGCCCAGCCCGGGTCCCCGCGACCCGCCCCGTGACGCGGGAGAAGCTGGTGACTGACGTCCCCGGGCGAAGGAAAGGAGTCGTGGACCCTTCAGTCACCGCTCAGCCCCCGGGCCCGGGCATTTCAGTAAGGAACTCCGTGTTTCCAACAAATGAGCCGATATCCCCGTCCTCATTTCCCAGCCCTGTCGTAGACCGGGTGGCACGGGTGGCCGCAGCAGTGGGTGTGTCCGCACACACGTGTCCAAGTGTCTCTGAGTTACCTTCGGCCTTTTGGACCCAACACTCAGCTTCATAAACCGTACTCATCTTCTTTGTAAAATAAAGCCGTAGCCACGAGTCCTGATGTGGGCATTTAAAATTAGACAGGTAGGTAGAGTGTGTATCAAAAATGATCAGATTTATTTGTTATTTGCATTAGCTGACATTCTATTTGCACGTATCTGCCTTCGTTTCCCTGTATGTGTGGTGCTACAAATCTGTATTGGCAGTGGCCTTGGTGGTTTCAAGGGCTTAACCCCCTCAGCAGCTTTTTTAAAAGATAACACTATTGTCACAAGGTGATGTCAACCCTACTGCCTTGCGTTTCCTTCACTAAATGCCTGCCATCTTATCCTACCCCTTCTCCTTCTTGGAATGGCCTGCACAGGTCATTGCTTTCATAGGTAAGGAATGAAACTGTTAGAATCTTTACATACACTTTTCCTACCTAGTTGCTGTTGGCTACATTGCTCCTTTTCTGAAAAGTCTGTTATCCATCCAGTTCTTCATCCTGTGTGTTCTGTGGCTTATTGTTTCTTAAATGTCCTTGGAGTGCTGGTCTCTAGTGCACACCCCTTGCATCACTGTGTAACAGCACTGTGTATTTTGAATTCTATCTGAAGATAAGGCCTTCCTTCCAGCCAGTTTTCTTTGAAAGGAAGCTTCTGGTGGGACTGCTTGCTCTGAGAAGTAAGCTCTGGCATTGGTTGCGTCATTACCATCTTTTCTGAGAGAACTTGGTATAAAATGAAAATTACAGAACATAAGAACACATAAAAGTGAAGACCAGAGGTGTTTTTGTTTCTAATGGAGGGAGGGTATGTGTGAGGTTTCATTGCATTTAAATCAAAATTTTCATGCATTTTGGGTCCCATTTCTTCCCTCAGTAGCAGTTTTTCTTCAAGATCTAATGTCTTTCTCATCTTCTCCCTCCTCTCTGTATTACTTAACAGTGACTTCAGCGTTTGATGTCGGTGGTTTGCCAGGGTAGTGGGACTTACCCCGTAAAGTTTTCATTACAGTTGTCAAATGAGTAGACTTTGTTAAAGCTAGATCATACATGGGGGGACAGGTAAGCTTTGTAGCCTTCAAAAGGAGCCCAGTGTACCCCAACCCAGACAGAGTGTAAGAGCTGTGGAATCAGGTACTCCTCTCACGTCCATGTTACACACTCAGCATTCACTTCCAACATTTCCTCCTAAAACAGCCAGATTTCAACTACCTCCTTCTTCCCTTTCAGTGTGGCTCCTCAAATTTTAATTTTACTCCTAGTAGTTATATTTCTGATCATTTTCTTTCCAAAGGCTTCAGTGTAGAAGCAAGTTTATGTATCCGGTGTTAAGCTTCCAAAAGTTTCCTCCAGAAAGGTGTTGAGAGCCATCAGACTAGTCAGTGACACTAATGCCTTCCATCCCGTTGCTCATTCGAGAAAGAAGCCTGGGGTCCCTCTGATTTTCTTGTGTTGCCCCTGCCTCCTAGTCTCCACAAAGGTATGTGACAGTGTCACTGTTTTCTTCAGTTGCCCATTTACCAGTCTTTTACCAGAATACAGCGGTGTAGATTGATTCCTCATCATATATGGCCCATTCGAAAATCAAACCCATATTTAAACTCACATATAAACTCCCATTTTATATCTACCAATAGTATCTGAAACGTATGAGTTTCTTAGTAGTCCTTACTGCATTCACGTGTCTCCTCTGTTCCTTCCTAACCCCACCTAGACACTGGTTGTGCACATTAGTGAGCTGAGAAAGTTCCACAAGGTGTGCTTTCTGCTGCCTCACTTTCTTACAGTCGAAGGTTTTACTTCTTCAGACAAGTCTTTCTCAAATACATTTCTTTTTTCTATTTTTTGGGTGAGGGTTCGAGACAGGGTTTCTCTGTAGCTTTGGATCCTGTCCTGGAACTAGCTCTTGTAAACCAGGCTGGCCTCGAACTCATAGAGATCCGCCTGCCTCTGCCTCCCAAATGCTGGGATTAAAGGTGTGCGCCACCACCACCCAGCCTCAAATACTTCTTTTCAAAATCAGTTAAGTCCCCCTGTCATTCACTTTAGATGTATACTGTTCTCTTATGTTACACAGAGTGTGAATCTGTCTGTTTTGCCTTCCTAGAACAGATTACCTGAGTCTGTGTAAATTAAAGAACGGGATTTACTGTTGTAGTTCTGGAGGCTAGCAAGTCTAATGGGCCTATCCCCAGAGGACCTTCTTCTGGGAAAAGAGCACATGTGCTGAAGAAAGAGAGCGGTGGGGATGGGGGAAATGGGGGGGTATTTTATACCAGAACCTCTCGCGCGCAATTTTAGATTTTATAAATTTTATATCTGCCAATAGCTTCTCAAACTTCTGAATTCTTTAATACGGTCTTCCTGGATTTACATGTCTCCTTATCTCAATGTATCAAAAGTAACCTTGGAATCTACAGTGGTTAAGTAGACTCTAAAGAAATTCCATGTGTTAGGCATATAAAAATTAGGAAGTAATGTTGAAGTATAATTATTAAATGTAGCCATGTTCAAAAACAAGAAAAGAAAGTCTCCATTGATGAAAAATGGAGATTTTTTCCCCATAAGAAAGCAGAAGGGAACCACAGTGGGGTTTTGAGGATAGAGCCCGGGGAAGTATGTTGTCCTGCCAGCCTATCAGGCAGAATCGTACCATCTGCCATGGCAGAAATGGAGAAGCATCATCCGTGTGATCTCTGAGTCTTGTCTTAAGCCAAGATGCTTCTGTAAAGCTGCGTCCAGAGAGCTTGAGGCCAGGGTGAGAGGAGTATCAAAGAGCCTGTGAGCAGACGAATTTCCCGCAGGAGTCACAAAGTACCTTAGGTAGATGAAAAAAGAGAAAAGCCGTAATAGGTAATAGCTTAGCGCTTACTGAGTCCTAGTATATGTTAGGCAGCATTCTAAGTGATTCCTTAATCCTTACACTAACCCTATAAAAAAGTACTGTTGCCTAATATTTACAGAATAATAAAGTAGGCGCAAATTGGGATTGGTTCATTATAGGAATAAAAGTGGAATTTGAACTCAGGTGGTCTGCTCTAGAGAGCCCACTCCTGACCACCCTCCTTCACTCTTGCTATGTCGGAAGTCACAGAGCACTCTCCAGTAAACGAACGCTGGAAATAGAGCCCAAATTATGTAAAGGCAGGTACAGCAGACAAAAATAGGAAACCACTGTGAGTAAATGTTCAGTTAGAAAGCAGGAACAAGTGACTGTAGCACAAATGATAAAAACGCAGAGACAGAAATTGAGGTTCAACCTGAAAACCAGAAAAGCAAAGCAGCCAGGCCACTAGAGAAGTCTTATCTCTACCAAGACTGAGCAACCACAAAATGAAGCAGACAAGCCTCTCCTACCATTTTATATTCCCTGCAGTGCTGGGATTAAAGGCGTGACTCTCCAGTACTGGGATTAAAGGTGTAGGCCACCAGCACCTGTATTTGCTTCTGCATTAATTTTGTGGAGCCCACGGTAAACTTGAACTCACAGAGACCCATCTGCCTCTGTCTCCCAAACTCTGGGATTAAGGGTGTATGTCACCATTACCTGACCTCTATTGGCTTTAACTTTGCCTCTGGTCTTCAGGCAAGATTTATTTACTAAAATACAAATACTATACCACTACAAATGAGCTGGAGGAAATTGAAGTCTTAAAGTACAGTCACTAAAATCAGCAGGTAACATGAGTAACACTTCCGTCACAGAAGAGCAAAGTATTAGTGGCTGTCAACCCTGGAAAGTAAAACTGAGTACTTCTGCACAAATGGAGTCGCATACTGAGCATACACTCCTACTTTGACAAAACAAAAGCCCATGCAAAACATACAAAGAGACTGAATATTAGTCACAGGAAATACATGAAGTGATGCTTCTGTCACCCCGACTCTTTGTCTTCAGGCCTCATTGCAGCACAGACACGCCAGGAGGGACCAGTGGACAATTGGGTTGAGCTAAGGAGCAGTGCAGGAAGAGTTAAAACACAAAGGGGGAGAGGGAGGGAGGGAGGAAGAGGGGATACCTGAGAGAGCTGCAGAGAAAATTCTGGAGGTCAGTAGCATAGATCAGAGAGCATTGGCTAATTAACACATTTACCAACCAGAAAACGGGAACAAAACGC